GTTCAGCAGGTCCACACGGAGAAGATCGTAAGTAGTTATTTATTTGGAAACATATGTACCACATAGTTTTGTGACTCATTGTTAAACAATACGTGTAAAATAATAATAATGGTGATTCGTAAAAGATTCGTGGATACTTAAAAAAAAATATTGTAAAGTGTTTTTCTTTGTAAATTTAAATTTCAAACAGCTGTTTATTGCAACTGTAACATATAATGGTTTAAAAGGTTATTTAATAATCCAGTTTCTGTACATAACTATATTTGATTTTAACATTGTTTTTTTATTTATAAGTATGTATAATCTCATTAACTTTGTATGGTATTATGAAATCATATCATCTTTATGTGGTATGGAGCTTAATATAATGTTCTCTTCTTTTCAGTATTCCACTGGCAAGCCACAATCATGGGTCCAGTAAGTTCTATTTTAAACATTTTTATTGAAATAGTGGAAAAACAGTTTTATTCTTTGAAATGTCTTATCATAAAATTATCCTACTTCTCCTGTTTTAGTTATATAATGTTGTAGTCATTTGTTCAAATCAAAAAGAAATTTGTCAAATATTAAAAACATATTTTGTTATGCGTGTGTTTTAATAAACAAAATAAATATTTACTCACATTTTTCAGGTCGACAGTCCCTATCAAGGAGGTGTGTTTTTCTTAACCATACATTTTCCTACAGACTACCCATTCAAGCCACCCAAAGTTGCATTCACAACACGTATTTATCACCCCAACATAAACAGTAATGGGTCAATTTGTCTTGACATTCTACGTTCACAATGGTCTCCTGCACTTACCATATCTAAAGGTACATCTTTGTTATATTTTGTGCATTTTATATTGTAAGTAAATAAATAAATTATATTTCTCTTTGAGTAACACTTTATATAATTCTTTTTTTCAGTGTTGCTCTCAATCTGCTCATTGCTATGTGATCCAAACCCAGATGACCCCCTGGTACCAGAAATTGCTAGGATCTACAAAACTGACAGAGAAAAGTACAATGAATTAGCCCGAGAGTGGACAAGGAAGTATGCCATGTGATGAGTCAATTATGACAATCTGCAAACATTACACACACATCGCCACAGCCCGGGCTCTACCCCTTTCTATGTTCCCGCTCCCCAGTCCCTATTAGTCTAAACCCCTATATAAGGCCCAAAATTAATGAAAATTGTGTAAAAAGGTTTCACAGTCATTTGTAGACTTTGCCTGTTCCAATGACATCTACAATAATTTTTAATCTGCAAATCATTGCATCTAAATAAACATAACATGTGCGAATAGTTTCTGTTTATCTGTATATGTGTAAGAGACATTTTCTATGATGGCAAAATTGTTTTTGTTTAATATTGATGTGTCCGTAGGTGTCTTTATCACATACACTCATTTAGTTGTTTTAAATATTAGTTAAATTTACAACATTTGAATTTATGTAATTCCTAAAGAGTTTGTACTTTAACTAGATCTAAATTGCATTGTGAAACTGTAAAATAGCCATATGTTTAGGATATGGAGCGTTCCTCGCTTATCACTTTTCTGGTTCACTTAAGAATGTTTTTCAATGAAATGTAAGCAAAGCTCATAAATGTTAATAACATTCTGGCAATGTATGTAAATGGTACAACAAAATGAGCTTGTTGATGGAGTCAAGTGAGTGTTATTTTTTTTTTTTACTAGTAAAGCAACTTTAAGTTAGGAAATGTAGCATGCTACAGAACAGACTGACATTGGTTGAAGTGGTCAGTTTTCTTTCATCCACAATATTGTGAAAATGATGGTAAGGCTCCAATAGGGTCAAGATTCAGTATAAATTACAGTGTATCTCATAAGATAATAAGTTACAATTTAATCTAGACTTTTTTCAATATGGCGATCTTTATATTATAATTTTATCTAATATATATTGTGGTTGTAAGGATACTTGCGTTGTGATTTCCGTAAAAATTTTCCTTTCCACTTTACCATCCTTTCAGTCCATTTCAATATTAAGCTATATGGCAAACTTCTCAGCATCTGGCATGAGTGGCAAGATATGATGTGTTGCATTACAGCTACCTACACGAAGAAGCAAACACACTTAGTTAACACTGGGAGAGAGCAAACTTTAAAGCTTTTCAAATTGTAATCGATCTACGAGATGTATTTTAGCTTCACTAAATTGTAAGAAAACAATAAATTATTGTGTATGTAAATAACTTTTGAGCTTTATTCAGGTTACTTCCTAATACTGGAATGCAGCTGTAATCTTAAATAAATTGTAATCCATCTGTACTAAAATGATTGATCTGTATTTGTGTTGTATATTTCTTATTCTTTATCTTTACCTAGATTAATTTAGTCTGTATGGTATCCCTTATCATATTCATCTGAATGCTTCACTAAAGCACATTGTGTTATCGATATTGGAAATTATTCCAGGTACTGGAGTTATCTCATTCAATAATTCACTAAAATAGGTGCTTACTCATATTTACGCATCACATAGCAACCAAAATACATTGGGTGCTATTTACACGCTTTATAATCATCTATTTTATATTTGCTAGCGTTTTGTGCTGTATTTTGCATTATTACTGAACACGACCTCGATCCAAAAGTAAACTTTCTCTAGGTAGGTAGTCGAAATGAAACTTAATTTTGTCGCGTTTTAAAAATGGAAATAGGTCGTAATTTAATACGGTACGTTTACGCCAAAGGTGTTCAATAAGCAACCGTTTAAGATACATGTATCGACAAAGTGTCAATCATTATTGAGATGTACATTAAGATTTGTTGGTTAATTAACACTTAGGTAGTAACTACCACTGGGAATAATTTTTTTGTGTAGGTATTGACAAACTCGACACGTTAGAACCACATAATTACATAGTTCACATGTGACTGAGCTTGAAGGAGTTTTATCAGAAAAAATTATCCCACAGGACAAGGGGATATAAGCTCTATTTCCGAAAGATTATTATATATCCGATAACTTCAATATCAGTTTCTTAATAATCCGTGACGAGCTCATTTTCCATTTATTACGTCAGTAAGATACAGTCTTGTTTCTTTTCCTAAAATTTTTAATAACGAGTTAGGTATTTCAATGTTAGTTTAAAAATGTAAGTTTAGAAAACTACGTTTTTTTTTTCAGTTTAAAATTATAAATAGGTTGCAGTCAAATAGAAGCCTAAAGCGATGCCAATTTCAAGTTCTGTGCGTGTAATGTCGAGTGCAAAATTCGGGTTTTCTCTTAGAACTATCAAAAATCTAAAAAACCGAACGAAAGCATCATCCTCAACTGTACGATAGTGTACATATAAAGCGATAGTGGTCTCCATATATAGCTGATGCTCTGATACCTATAAAATGAGATGCGCATTATAACGTTTTTAGAGTAAGGGCGGCGCAAAACGGGGTTTATTATAGAAAAATGTGAACAAAGGAAGAAATAAAACACACATTTTTAATAACACATTGAATTGGGAGGTACAAAGTAAATTTAGACATAAATTCATAATTTTATATTCAATATTAAAGTACATTTGATACACCCGTAATATAGCTACGATATTATGTTATATCAAATGCATCGGTATATCAAATTCTTGTATAAACTAATATTATGACTGGAATACAAACATTTTAACAAAACCAACATCCTAATTGCTACCTAAGAATAATCTTAAGTATTTAAAAATATTATTTAATATGCAAAAAAATTTTTCAGACATGGGGAAATAACACATTTTTAATGGGAAAATTAAGACGATAGCGGTGGGAGAAAATTCAGTTTAGAATAAATAGATGTTGTTTTAGGAAAACTTCCGGTTTTAATTTAAGCTCATAATGAAATCGTGCATATTTAAAATTATTTTGATTTGAACACTATGCGTTAAAAAATTTGCCTACTATGACCACTTTGCACTTTGAGGCGTTACTTAGAATTTAACTAGCATTAAATTCGTCCAGAAGTGCAGCCTTGCTATGGATAATAATAGGTCCACATAAATTAATTTAAAGATAGTTCCTAAACTAGTATTTCTGAGTGCAACTGGAGTATTTATATTTAGATTCATTAATTATAATAATTATTACGGTTGGATCATAGTTAGGATTTTTTTATAATGCATCTAAAACAGTGAAACAATGAATCACATATAAAGTAAATAAGTAAAAAGTAAAGCATTAAGACGGAAATCTCTATAGCTCTCCTGCTCTGAATAAGTTTCATTAGACAAACTATATCCGTATAGAATATATGAGAAACTTACATACAATTTGATTTCGTACAGTTAAATTAGGGCCGTTTGTAACGAAGCCAATATTCGCTTGGCTGTTATATTATTCAACGTAAGGCTACTGATTGTCCAAGAATGTACATGATGAAGGAAAAATATATTAAACATAACCTAGTTAGTACACATTTGGCTGTATTCTTTTTTTTATATAAACTTAAGATTAAACTACATTACATACAATTAAATAGCCAATGGTATCAGAAGAGGTATAAATGTATCGCTGTTTTATTTCGTGCAAAGCAGAATTTATCAACAGCTCCTGATACACTCATATCTGGTCACTTTTCCGGATGAATAATTGATAGCGTTGCCAGCATTTCGAATGACGAATATAAAACATGCAATAAAATTATGGAAAACAAGCGTTGCGTTCGATATGAGATTCTGTTGGTTTTACAAACTGCATACGTAAATCATAGGATCGGATATAAACATCGAGGTTATCTCTCTATGTTCATGAATGTACCTATATTATTTGTGACCAATATCATATAATTATACATGTCCGTGCTACCTTAACGCCGCCACGGCTGAAATTCGGTAACAGACTTACGCTGTGCCGTAGGTCACTATTTATCGCGTTAAAATTAATTCCATTCCGAAAACCACCGGTATAAGCTTTTATAAATCATTCGACACTCGATGCTATATCACTATGTAAATTTGACTTTATTTACTAAACATATTTATCCATTGTGAAGTCACGTTACAACTCAGTCGTCTCCATGTTCTTCGCGTTCTTCATCCGCTCGAGCTGCTGGTAGAGGTCCACCTCGTTCGTCTGGGTCTCCGACTGCATCGAGGGGAAGGTGCCGGCGGTGATGAAGTACGGCCGCTCGCTCGGCGCCTGGTCCACCGCGTTCTCGTCGAGCGAGTCGCGCTCGGAGCGCTGCTCGGAGAGCCGCTCGGAGAGCTGCTCGTCGGACTTGTACCAGTCGTTCTCGTACGCCTGCAGCCATATCGGGTTGGAGCCCTTGCTGCTGTGCTTGTTGGTGTTGGGCACGCGGGCGGCGCTCCGCACGGTCATGTCCGATTCGCCGGGCGTCGGGGTCGCTGCGACGTGATTGAGTAGTGATGAGTGTTTTTTTTTTTTTTTGGAGATTGCTGCGACTGCGGTGTCTCGCGACACAATTTAGTTATAGAGAAGGTGATGAATGCTCGTTAAATTGTATTCTACGTTCTGTGTATACTATATACTGACTATGTTGTCTAGCTGGGCTTTATGTGGGGAATATTTAGGGTTTTATGTAGAGAGTATTTATTAAACTTTAGTATCTGCGTTCGGAAGTTTGTCAGAAAACTGCGAGCAGGTCACCTGATGTTAAGTCATGACCAAACCGCATCTATGGATATCTTTGTAGATGCGTTCATGAGTTGCGATGGCAAGCTTTGTGCCCTGACTTTAATCACCGCTTGATATATAATTTTTTCTTAATGTGACAAGGTAGGTATCATAAGTGATAACCGCCGCCCATGGACATTTGCAACACCCGTAAGGTTACAGACCCGTTGCCACATTTTAATTAAGTAGGCCCAGTTTACTACACTCAAGAGTTGAAACGCAGAAGTGTAACACTTCTAGCTCCTGTGAGGTCGTGGCCATTCCCCAGACGGACCTGTCCATTCGTACAGAGGAGACTTGCCTGGCCCACCAGAGTTAAAAAGAAAACAATTTTACATAACGTCAGACTTCCGTAGGCAGCACCATCTTGAGTGGCATAATAGTGAATCAAATTTTTTAGAATCGGTCTGCAATCTGTTTGTGTCAAGCTTGATGTGATCATGACTACAAAGTTCACGTTCTTAAAAAGGCAACTCGATGAATTTAGCACGAAATTCAAACAAACGCCACTAACTCTTTGAAAGAGATTCTATTTATTACATTTAGATTAGACATACGTTTCACATCTAATGAATATATTTTACATATTTTTTATTTACCTAATTTAAATTCCCGTTTCCCGACTAATGTTTTTTTTCGCAATGAGATCTGTGCGATATGTGTTAACTGTATGGTTTTCATCGAGTTTATTTTTGAATCTTATTTTTAACGCCCACTTACATTACACGCCCTCGGTGACGGGACGGATATAGGGTCAGGTATTTAAAAATGGATATTGAATTTGATACAGTGTTTTTTCCACAATGTAATATTCTAATAATATTGTAATTTATGATTAATTTTATTTTTAGTGCTTGTTTCCCTCAGAAAAAGGCGAAAAAATGAGATTCTTAACTGTCCATCTACAAAAATTAGTCTTTTAATATTGTTATATTCGCTTAGATACTCGAAATCATTTAGATAATAAAAGAGGGCATTCATTAATGAAGTGATTTTTTCGATCCCTGCTCACCCTCGATGACATATGAGATATAACCTGATTAATACCTAACTTTTGTAAAAACCTTTAAATTGTTCCGTATCTTGTAAGAATCATATTGTTGATTTACACTTTTGGGAACGAAAATACCATGTTCTCGGCGATTTGGTAATACACGCGGAAATGCGCGTATGAGATATATGCAAGCAAGAAAACTTCTATAAAGGGACCCATATGCGCGGCTTGGGATCTGTGTATCGGTTGTGGGTGAAGTATTTGTCTACACGTCTATCTCGTATAGTTTTACTCACAATATGCCGTTGCCGTCGCGGCTTTCAGCTTCCTCAGGTAGTCCGCCCTCTGTGACAAGCATATCATCAGCGAGAGCACCAATAGAACGGCCAGGAACAGGGTCGTCCACACCAGACAGTAGACCGTTTGGTTGGACGTTATGCTTTCAGCGGTCAACGGCTGGTATTCCGCCGGCTGCGTGTCCAGTACGTTGAACTCCTGAGGGAATATTGGTCTGATACAAGTCAACGTTCTGTGTTTGTAAGATACGAGGGTTTGAATTTCTTTTACATAAGCACGCCATCTGTTGTTTTTATGGTTAATTAAATTTGCTTAAGTGTGAGCTGGACTTCAATTTGTATGCAATTGCAATACTTTTAAAGGTATAGTATAAGTAGCATTCGAGTTACTTTAGATTCAGCTACTCGCGCTTACAGATTTAAAATTATTTCTACTCATCTTGGTGATCGATGTGCATATTTGTTCAACAGTGTAAAGGGATAATTGTAATTTTGGGAATTTAATCACGGTAACATCAAGATGTTTTTTTGGATATCACTAATTTTATTGTTTATTTTACGTTTTACACAGAGAGGACATTTTTACCCAACTGCTGAAGGAGGGTAATGTTTCGTGAGATTATGTTTGTATGCAAGTATTTGTGTATGTATGTATTTCTAATTCTTTGGCACGCTGTACAGTCTAACCCTTTCGACGGATTTCTACATATGAGTCATTGCGTTCATCTCAGTTGTGGGAGTGACATACGGTTTATTGTAATATCGTGCCCACAAAAATACAACAGATGAATAGTAGATAGTAGTAATAGTAGTAGTACATTTAGTAATTTATGCTTGTACTTAAACTGTGAATTGTGTTAATGAGGCGATGTTCATTTGCGTTTTTGTACTTCTGTATGCACGTAAGAAATGATACTTCTGTAGCATAACAAAAGAAAAGCAACTAAAAAGTATAAACAAATAAAATATGTAGTCAAAGAGCTGTCATTATTTGGCATGGCAGTACCGTGAAGTTAAATTGGTGTCGTTTATGTGCGCATCATAAAACTCACTCATCATTTTCCCGGTTGCTGAAAAACGAGTATAACCTCAAAAACACGCAAACCTTGAACAGGCCGCCGAGCTTCTCGATGTTCGCGTCTACAGCCCTCAGCATCTATTTATTATACGTAAAGCACCGCCATGGCAATACCATGAAGTTAAGTTGGTGTCGTTTAGTATCGCGCATCTTAAAATCCCGGTTGCCGAAAAAGGGGTATAACCTCAAAAACGCGCAAACCTTGAACAGGCCGTCGAGCTTCTCGATGTTCGCATCTACAGCCCTCAGCATCTATTTATTATACGTAAAGCACCGCCATGGCAATACCATGAAGTTAAGTTGGTGTCGTTTAGTATCGCGCAACTTAAAATCCCGGTTGCTGAAAAAGGGGTATAACCTCAAAAACGCGCAAACCTTGAACAGGCCGCCGAGCTTCTCGATGTTCGCATCTACAGCCCTCAGCATCTATTTATTATACGTAAAGCACCGCCATGGCAATACCATGAAGTTAAGTTGGTGTCGTTTAGTATCGCGCAACTTAAAATCCCGGTTGCTGAAAAACGAGTATAACCTCAAAAACACGCAAACCTTGAACAGGCCGCCGAGCTTCTCGATGTTCGCGTCTACAGCCCTCAGCATCTATTTATTATACGTAAAGCACCGCCATGGCAATACCATGAAGTTAAGTTGGTGTCGTTTAGTATCGCGCATCTTAAAATCCCGGTTGCCGAAAAAGGGGTACAACCTCAAAAACGCGCAAACCTTGAACAGGCCGTCGAGCCTCTGGATGTTGGCGTCTACAGCCCTCAGCACCTGTTATACGTCGAGCACCGCCATGGCAATACCCTGAAGTTAAGTTGGTGTCGTTTAGTATCGCGCATCTTAAAATCCCGGTTGCCGAAAAAGGGGTACAACCTCAAAAACGCGCAAACCTTGAACAGGCCGTCGAGCCTCTCGATGTTCGCGTCGACCGCCCTCAGCACCTGGTCCACGTCGAGCACCGAGTGGTCCTGCCTGTTGACGAGGTGCAGGTAGAGGTCCGTCTTGGTGTGGTCCACGGTGCCGTCGCGGTTCTCGTGCACCCGCAGCCCGTCCACGTTGACCGCCGCGCCCGTCACCCCGGCCACCGCCTCCCGGAAGGCCGCCACCCTGTCCCGCACCTCGGAGGGGTGCGCGCGCAGCACGAAGCGCACGCGCTGGTCCTCCCGCAGCAGGTATATGAACACGCGCGCCTCGTCGCTGCGCCCGTCCGTGTCGTTGGCCAGCACCTGGCGAGGGTGGTGTTTTTAGATTTAAAAAAAAAAATAAATAAAAAAAAAAAATCAACAGTTTATTCGCAAGGACAATACGACTCCACACAATGTCCCTGTTAAAACTTTTATAAAACCAAACACAACAGCTTATTCGCAAGGATATCTGCAATACGACGTCGTATAATGTCCCAATGTCCCGTGTCGTGAGTCCCAAGTTGGTACGACACGGGACATTGTCCAATCGTTCCGACCAATCCAACGTTCGCTAGTTATTGGTACTACCGATTTTTAAAAAATGAAAATCAAATTTATTTGCAAGAATATATACGACCTCGTACAATGTCGATATTAACTTGTAGATTAACGGCCGGTTTCAATATTCAATTTACGGATAGATTTGGTTGCTAGTGATAGGTATTTGACATTAGCACCATAATACTTACGTCAAAAATCTATCTCCAGTAACCAAATCTACAGATAGATAAGTTATTGAAAACTGCCATAAGCCGATTGGGGTAGACGTGCGCAAGCGACTTGCAACCGTAGCTCATTATGGGTAGTACGAGGTCTTGTATTAATAAAAGTTTAAAACTTTACGTCCTATTTTCTACAAATTTTACTTACGTACGTATTACGTGTAATAAATCACGCTTCGTTCCTTCACTATTTCCGAACATCTTAATTTCGCCCACAAACAAGTCGCACTCACTTTGAAGTCGAAGTATCCTTTCATCCCTTTCTGCGGGTCGAAGTTGAGTGAGACGGCGCCAGTCTCCTGGTTCACGAGGAACGGAGACACCGCCAGGTTCTCCAAGCCTTCGGTCAGCGTTTGCTTAACGTCACCGATCAGGTAGTAGTTGACTCTCGCGTTCTCGCCTTCGTCTATGTCTATCGCCTGCGAAAGTTACATCTAAATAAGATATTATAGTTCCGTTTTAATGTTTTGTAAAGAATAAAAGTAATCACCGATAGCGACATATTACGTTATCGGGGGAATCCCGGTGTCGAAGCCGATACCTTGACAGTTGCGTCACGGAGTCATCAAAGTTGATGAACAAAACGCAACAACATGTTCTTTACTGATCCGTTCATAACGACTATCATTAGTGTACCATCATTGTAGAAGACCATTTATCTTTATATATATTTTTTTCTTTTCATATTTTTGTGATATATTCGATAAGTCTCCAAGAGATTTCTATGCATTTCTGAGGTCTGGATTCCGCTTTTTCAGCGGTCAAAATAAACTTTAGATCAGAGCTTATAAGCATCATAAGAGCATTTCTAACATTATTCATCATTATTTTTTATGTGATATGTTACATATTTAACATTCGAGAAATTCCTACACCCTTCTGAGGTTGAACTTTTTTGCGGTTTAATTTAATGAATACTTGATTTATTTATTAATTAAGGTCTACCTAACAAAGTTAAATGTTTTTTATAAATAGCATAGCAAGATTAATACTAACTCAGATTTTAAGAAAATGTAATTTCAATTACACACGGACACTGCATACAAAGAGTATAGGTGCTTAAACAGTATTATAAAATAATAAAAGAAAACTGGCCAAGTGCGAGTCCGACTCCGTTAAGTATCTATAAACACTGCAAAAACTCAAGTCTGTTGTATGGGAGCCCTCACTTAAATATTTAGTACCCGGAGAACCAAGCTTTGCTCGGTTTGTTTTTTTTTTTGGTAAATCGTGTATTTTGGAAATTACATTTAGATACAAATTACTGAGTAATGAAATATGCATAATGTTTTTCGATCTTACCGACGTAATAATAGGAAAATATGAAAAATTAAAAATAAAGAAAGCAATGATCTGGAATCGAAAAAAAAGTAAAACAATAAATGTGTAAATGATCGTGACGCGAACCACGGCCGTCTGTTTTGGGGCCGCCCGATTACCAACCGAGCTATTATGACATTTTCTCTTGCGGCGAAATTTACCGTGATATTCGAATTATATTTTTCATTCCCTGAAAACAGGGATAAAACGACATTTTCTAAAAATGAAACCTAGTCAGATCGATTTTTCGCCCCCGAATCTACGCACATACTAAATTTCATGAAAATCGCTGGAGCCGTTTCCGAGATTCCGATTATATATATATATATATATATATATATATATATATATATATATATATATATATATACAAGAATTGCTCGTTTAAAGGATAAGATTTATTGTTTTTTTAATAATGTACATCATCATATGTGAATATTTACAGAAATACATCATCTGTTAACAACTGTCTACAACTATCACGGTTCATTAGAAACAGCTTGGTGACAGACAGACAGCGAAGTCATACTAATAGGGTAATAGTAAGTCATAATAATTCCCGATTTACCTTTTGGGTACAAAACCCTAAAAAAGCTAAGAAACAATATAAAACTATACTGTTTCTTAATTTTTTATGATCAGCACTTAGGGTCAAAAACCCAATTTTTTGTACCTTCACGTGCATGAACTCTATTCCGAAGTCGGCCTCCGTGGTGATGCCGCCGGTGAATATTCCGCTGAGGAACTTCGGCGCGTTGTCGTTCACGTCCTCGACGTTCACTCGCACCCTGAGCGAGCTGATGCCGTCCACGGACTCCTCGAAGGGGGGTCTGGCCACACAGTCCTCGGTCGCCAGCACGGTCAGCGTGTAGTTGGACCTCCGCTCCCGGTCCAGGGGTTTGGAGGTCGACAGCCTGTCCGAAATAGAAACGCAACCGTGAAGCGAAAAAGAGAGGTCGCCAGAAGTGGCAGTTAAGTGATCTGCGTGACTACATCGACAATTGGAAAGTGACGATCGGCTAGCTTCGGCTTCGGAGAGCGTTATCTCTCGCAGGAAGCAGAGAAAGAGAGAGAGCGACAGACAGAGAAGGCAATAGCTCTTCTTATTGCTGTGAATTGCTTAAAATAACTTCAAAAGCCAATTAACACTGAGGGCATCCTTTATGTGATTATAAATCACAACTAGCTGTTGGCATACACTCTGGCAACTCTTTTCACAACTTAAGCATACATCCCTTCCAAAATCTTGAACTATCTGCTATCTCCATAAAAAATTACATCTAAATGGGTTCAGCCGATTAAGCTTGAAGAGATAACAGAGTTTCGCATTCACAATATAAGTATGGTGAATCACAAACGAATATAAGAATAATCTAATAATACATAAAGAATTAATTACCTATGAGTGCTTCTGTCTAGTTCGAACATCCCATCTTCGTTTCCTTTCACTATGTAATAGCAAACCGGAAGTATGGGCTCATCGCCCCTATCTATTGGGTCTCTTTCCACCACACTTGGCAAGTACACGCCGTAGTCTTTAACGTTTTCCGTGACGTTGATGTAAATCTCGCGGTCGGGAAATCGGGGCCGGTAGTTGTCCACGTTCTGCACGTAGATTGTGAGGTCCAGGTCCGAGCTGAGGGGCGTTGGGAGGCCCAGGTCGTAGGCTTCTATTCGGAGCTAAAAAAGAATACGGTTACGGTTCAAATGGACACGAAAGATGCTATTTATTATACAAAAAAATATTTCTATCTGATCGTGTACGCGACTGTATATTGCGAGGCGCAGGACTGATTATTTTCATTAGGTTGTGTACACCACCGTATATTGCATAAGACAGGATCTGTGTATCCGCCTGTATATTGCGTTGCACAGGACTATTTTCATTAGTATGGCTGTGTATGTGACTGTATCTTTGTTGCGTAGGATTATTTTAAGTTGTGTACGCGACTGTACTATACATAAGACGGGATTTATGTACACGACTGTATGCTTCGTTGCGCAGAACTTTTTCCGATGGGCTATGTACGCCACTGTATCTTGCTTCATTACGGTATTATTTCCATTAGATCGTATACGTCATTGTATCTTATGTAGCGCGAGATTATATACATTACATTGTGTACTCGAATGTATTTAGAATGGCGCAGTATTTTTTCCATTAGGTACGTGGTATACGCGATTATTTCTTGCGTTGCCCAGGTCCGTAACGTTGTGTGCGCGACTGCATCTGCACAAAATCGTTTCCATTGGCCGGTGTACTCGACTGTATTTTGCGTTGGGCAATGTTTCCAACACGGGGTATACGCGACCGTACCTGGTATTTCGTGCGCTGTTCGCAGTCGAAGGGTACGTCTGGATTGTGAGTGCGACTTTACCTGGTAGGTCTTGTGCTGTTCACGGTCGAATGGTACGTCTGGACTCTGGACTGTGCACGCGCCCGTACCTGGTAGGTCGTGCGATGCTCGCGGTTGATGGGCACGTCTGGACTGTGCACGCGACCGTACCTGGTAGGTAGTGCGCTGTTCGCGGTCGAATGGTACGTCTGGACTGTGCACGCGCCCGTACCTGGTAGGTCGTGCGAGGCTCGCGGTTGATGGGCACGTCTGGACTGTGCACGCGACCGTACCTGGTAGGTAGTGCGCTGTTCGCGGTCGAATGGTACGTCTGGACTGTGTACGCGACCGTACCTGGTAGGTCGTGGGGTGCTCACGGGCGAGGGCCACGTCTGGATCATGTGCGCAACTGTATCTGATGGGTCATGCGCTGTTCGCGATTGATGGGCACGTCTGGACTGTGCACGCGACCGTACCTGGTAGGTAGTTGATGGGCACGTCTGGACTGTGCACGCAACCGTACCTGGTAGGTAGTGCGCTGTTCGCTGTTGATGGGCACGTCTGGACTGTGCACGCAACCGTACCTGGTAGGTAGTGCGCTGTTCGCTGTTGATGGGCACGTCTGGACTGTGCACGCGACCGTACCTGGTAGGTAGTGCGCTGTTCGCGGTTGATGGGCACGTCTGGACTGTGCACGCGACCGTACCTGGTAGGTAGTGCGCTGTTCGCGGTCGAGCGGCGCCGCGGTGCGCAGTACGCCGCTGACCGCGTGCACGGCGAAGGCGCGCCACGCGCCGCCCGCGTCCTGCCGCAGCCGGTAGCGAACGGCGCCGTTCGGCCCGATGTCCGCGTCGATCGCGCGCACCTCCACCACGGCGGTGCCCACCGTCGCGTTCTGCGGGGGCGTCCGTAGTGAGATTGCGCATGTACAGAAAGTTGTATAATAGGAATATCACACGTGTAAAAAGTCATAATTAAGTAGAAAAAGCGGCGAAGTGGTAAGCACCATAGAGTAACTTATGTATACTGAAAGCATATAGTGGTAAGCACTTAGCATCAGGCGAGCCGCATGCTCGCTTGACAAGTTTCGTATGCACATAAGTACAAAGAATTAAACTTCCTTCGCATGAAAAAAACTAACTAAAATTTTATCTCGTGTGTCAATGTTATTCGTTAGTGAATAATTAAATAACTTAGGATTATGGATAAATTTCATAAGTAGTGTGGGTTGCTATGGTATGATATTACACCACGAAGTCGGTGTCACTTAGAAAGTGCGCCAAAAACTTCTCGCTTCAAAAAAATAATAGACACTATTAGAGCATCGACAAAGAAACTCTCCCACCTCCGGCACTTTGATGGTGACGTTTTGGGGCGGGTGCACGAACATCGGCGCGTGGTCGTTGTAGTCTGTGACGCACACCCGGAGCTCTGCGCGCGCTGCGTTCACGGGTGTACCGAGGTCGCGCGCCTCCACCACCAGCGTGTAGTTCCCGAAGCGGTCCCGCAGCGAGTGGCGCGCGTACAGCCGGCCCGCGTTCGACTCCCCGCCCGTCTGCTCCACGCGGAACAGCTCTGCCGATTACGCAATCCAATCTGAGCTCTATACGCTTGGACGTAAGGTTCAAACTGCCAAAGCGATATAAAAATAATCAAGATCTTGATTCTGTGTTCTATTCGCCGTGGGGTAAGGTGAATATCGTATATCTTTCCTTGGAAGTATAAACGCAATATATACATGAGGGGGAGGGGGGGGGGGGGAAGTATGGAGGCACTCACCGTGCCCCTTCCCTGCCACCAGCAGCAGCTGCACTCGGCCGTTGGGCGTGGCGGGGTCGTCAGCGTCGCTCGCCGCCAGCGCGGCCACCGGCTCGCGCGGGTCGTGGAACTCGGTGACGGTGGCGCACTCGCTCGGCACGTGCAGGACGGGCGCGTTGTCATTGACGTCCTCCACGCGCACGCTGTGTACAGTCGGGGGGGAATGAGGAGCGGGGACGAACAAACGCGCGCGCTGCGTACAGTCGGGGAGAAAGTGTGGAGCGGGGACGAACAAACGCGAACACTGCGTACAGTCGAGGAGAAATTCTAGAGCGGGGGCAACCGAAAGCCAACCAGGGAAGTTGAGACAACCAAACGCCCCCACGCGCATGCTGCATAGGTACTGTTTATGGGAAATTGTGGATAGATTACAACAGAACGCCCTCACGCGCACGAGAGCAGTCGACGAGAGGAATGAAGGAGGATGAAAAATCTTTACATGTAAACTAACCTTCAAAAAGGAAAATTCAAAAAGTCAATCTGACCAGATTAAGCGTCAATTAATAATGTATTTCAACAATGTGAGATACCTATTGCTTTAATATTATTAACAGAAGCATGAACTACTCCGCAGGGGTATATTGTAGATGATATAAATTATATTTTATTTGTATATTTTTTTTCACTCAAGTGTTGACATTATGTATTAGACAAGGGTGTATACCAAAGGTTAAAGCAACACTTACATGATCTGTTTGAAGGCGTTGCGGCTTTCGCCGCTAAGGTAACCGAACTGGTAGTTGTCCCACGCCTCCACCACTAGGTTGTACGTCGCCTGCGTTTCGCGGTCCAAAGGCTCCGATACGGTAACGATCCCCGTCTCGGCGTTTATTAGAAACTTTCCCTATAGAAAGGAGTGCTTTTAAATAATATTTTTTTATTGCATATGTATTAATGTGTGGCAGTTTCTTAACTTAATTTTATGATGGCTTCATGAATAATAAGAGAAAGAATAATAAAAACTTAATGTTTTATTTTTTTAATAAAAACATTGCCCTTACAGTAGGATAACTGTGATCCTGTGTTGTAAGAACGTTTTACAAACATAAATTTCACGTAAACAAACACTGATCCGAAACAATTATCTGTAGGTCACACAAATACGTTTCCCGTATGAGAATCGAACCCACGACCCCCGGAGCCGAAACCAATACCTTACAACTATAAATAATTTTGAACAAAAAAAAATCGACTTCAAACGGGAAACTAAAAACATTGTCAACACCTATGACATTTAAGGATTGCCTTTGATTTCTCTGGGATACCATCATCAGATCCCGGTTTCCTTATCATGGTACCATCCTTGGGATATCTCCTTTCCAACAAAAAAAGAATCATCAAAATCGGTTCATAAATGACGAAGTTATCCGCGAACACACATAAAAAAAATAAAAATATATACGGTCGAATTGAGTAACCTCCTTCTTTTTTGAAGTCGGTTCCCGTGTGCCAGTAGCATTTTTTGTGAAAAAAAAATATGTACATTTAAATAAAATTATAAAAAAAACTATCCAAAAAGTTCGATATGTGTAGAATGTTCACGAATGATCGCGTGCCAGCGTGCGCACGTGTGCGTGTGCGTGCGTAACAACGGTACCTTCGTGGACATGCGGTCCAGCAGGTAAGTGACCCTGCCGAAGTCTGAAGAGTCTGCGTCCCTCGCCACGACCCTGGCGACGGGGGTTCCCGGGGGCGCGTCTTCTGGAACGCTGAACTCGTGGGCCCCGGGTTCGAACACCGGGTTGTTGTCGTTCTCGTCCAACACCTGAGGCAGTGAGTTTGGATGGAGTGGTCATTAATCGATTTCGGCCTTCAAGTTCTTGTCCAGTCCGGCTTAGATTAGGCTGTTCAGACTAAGCGTTCGGATTTGCAATATCAATAATAATATATAATAATAATAATAATTTGCAATTCATATAAATTAACTATTTATATGAATATCTTTCTCCTCTGACCATGTTTTTTAACCATGATATAAATTGTCTATCATTGGAAGACCAACTTTGCTTTATAGTTTTCACAGCGGTATGTTCTACCTTGACTCTTCCAGAAATTTTTATTTCTGAGCCACTCTATAATCTCTTTGCCTGCGCCAGAACACGGAAGCTGAATTGTCAATGGGCAAAATGATGGTCAATGATGAGTTAGGAAACTACCGTAGCATAGAATCAAATAGTCTCGGCACTAGTAACGTAGTTTGATAGCCATGCCTTGGGCTTTTGACACGATTTTGGCAAACCACTTTCACTTCTTCCTCGTCCGTAAATCTACGCCATCTCTATCACTGCCTTCCGATATATTACAATCTAATCGATACCATGCAAAGGAAAAACGGAAGATAGAAGAAAGGAAGGAAAAAAGAGAAAACAAACGAAAACTTAAGACGAATGGAAAGAGAGGGGAGAAAGGAGAAGATATAGGAGATGACAGAGTTTTTCGCACCTGTATAAATAGATCGGCCACTGAGTACCGAGGTGGTTCACCGCTGTCGACCGCCTTAACGGTAAGATTGATCCATGGATATAGCTCGTGGTCGATTTTACCCGCCACCACCAGCTCGCCAGTCGCGCTGTCCATGTGAACCAACCCTAACAACTCCTCAGGACCTAAAGCGGTATTTTCACTTTATAAACAACGCTTATTCAAGGGATGAATGAATAGACTTTTATTTATTTTTATTTTATTTGAATAAATTTTAATAAACACCCACATTATTCAGATATATATTATATGCACTAGTCAGCCGTTCCATAGATAATTAATCACACATTTGAGAGATTCCCTACTGTACAATATTAAATGGATAAGGATGGTTTTTTTTCTTGTATACAACTGTTTGCCAATTAGCCTCAACGGCTGCTAGTGATAACTTCAGAACTTTTAGAAGTTAACTAACACTGCATTCATTTAATTATGGAACGAAATGCTAATAATAACTTCACGAATGTACAAAACTCTAATTAAGTGACGGGCATTGCGAAAAGCGGAATTGGACTAATGCTCACCCTCGAGGAAGTAGTTCATAGTCCGGTTCCTATCGGCGTCGTCCGCCACCACGCTGTCTATTACGGCGCCGTTCTTCGAGTTCTCCGCGATTGAGAACTTGTAGTATGGCCTTCTAAATCTGGGGTTGTTGTCGTTCTCGTCGCCCACCACTATGGTGAGCGTGGCAGAAGCGGTCTGCTTGGGGCCGCCGCCGAATCGCCGCCATGTCCTCAACTCTGATGGCCAGTTTCACCGTCTCGACCTTCTCGCGGTCCAAGAGCCTGGAGACGAACGGATGATGAAGAAACAACTAAGTTTTCTTTGGTGGTGGCAAAGAAGCTGGCGGTTCACCGGTTCTTAAGTGATGACCGCCGCCCGTGGACATTTGCAACACCCTTAGAGTGGCAGATGCGTCACCAATATATAATAAAGTGGGCCGAATGGGCAGGTCCGTCTGGGGAAGTACCACGACTTACAGAAGACCAGCCTGAAGAAGAAGCTTCTGCATTTCGTCCGGTCCCATGTGTAAAGCAGTGCCCATTTTATTAAAAGGTGATAACGCATCTGCAACCTTGAGTAAATGTCTTCACTTAACATCAGGTGAACCGCCAGCTCGCTTGAAAAAAGAAATAGGCATATTCCGTTTTGTTGTTATAAACGGCTTACCGTACAACCCTTAGCGTCCCGTCGATCGGGTTCAGATCCCACGGCGAGAGGTAATCATATTCAGTCAGAGGTATCAAAACGCCCTCCTCGTTCCTGGCAACACTGGCGCTTTTGTCTATGGAATAACGCAGCACAGGTTGCTCGTCCGGGTCGTGGGCTTGAGCGCGGTAGATTACGGTGCCTACCTGAAATGACAGGATTATATCAGGTAAATATTGTACTGATCTCTGCTGATGCTTAACGTTCTACGGCAGTTAAACTTTAATATTGAAAGTGCGAATATACCGCACAGTACTGATAAAGTCACCGAATGGGAGTATAAAATGTGAAATAAAACCGTTTAAAAACTTTTAAGTTAAACGGTTTTATTTTGTTTTTTTTTTTTGTTAAATTTTTTTTGTTAATATTGTATTGTCATCTAAATTAAATGTGTGTACCAAATTTCAGATCAATCTGACAACGGCAAGGTGCTTAAATTTCATATTTCTAATTTTGACCCAAACAAACAAATTCCGTACGGGTCGAGCTAAATAAAACCGTTTAAAAAGAGTATAAAATGGAAGATTAACGCTACTATTCATTTGAACAAATTGTCAACAGATGACGTCAACATCATACATTCTTCATATGAAATTTTTAAACGATTTTTTTTAATGAAATTGTTAACTTTATTCTATTAAAATGGTGTTTCAATCGTAACGTTTGATGAAGACTTGATGAATCTATAGCGTACCAACAAAAAACACCTTCGAGAAATAAGATACAGAGATTTATTTAAAGAACAAGTTTTTTGTGCATTAAGTAATAAGGGTTTTGTATGCCGTGAATTTCCGCCATTTTTATTTCTCTTTGACATAAATCATTCGAGAAAATGTGACATAGTGGCTACCAATTGGATTGGATCGTCGCCTACCTGCGTATTTTCCATCACGTGGACGGTGCCGGGTTCGAAGAGTACGGGCGGTTTGTTGTTCACATCAACAATGGTGATGTTCACCAGCACAGGGGCGCTTAACTGTTGATCGCCGATACCGCCATCTATCGCCAACTATGGCAGAGTAAACAATTTTCATAATCGAGGAGTATTCATTTGTCTTTTATATTTTTACCGACAGTCAAGACTTCTATTACCGCTTTACCAGCATCAATTGCCGTCAATTGAAGTCGTAATAAAGAGTGGTTATGACCGAAATTCGCAACATGACGATACAAGGTTCTTAAGCCATTTTAATTTAATTTGTTGCAAATAAATTTGGACGGAACGGAACTTAAAGCGTATGGCTTTTGTCCCCTGCAGAGAAGATAAAGTCCACAGATTTGACAGAACATTTTTTATTCTTTTTTACATATTGGCATCTGTTTGGTATCATTACAATTTAAATCCAGTAGATCAACAACCGCACCAACGAAGTTATATTAAGACTTATAAGTATATTATATGTATATTAAGTCTTATAAATAAGAGTACATAATATATGTATATATAATCAACATATATGTATTTAGATCAACAAGCGCACCAACAAAGCTATATTAAAAATTCAAAAAAGTCTAGCATCAAAAAATAGTAAGCATTGCGTCGTACATCATAATACATAGCCAACCGGGTGCTTCATTCAGGCGTCACACTCACCACAGTGAGGGTGTACCGGCTGCGCTTGGGGCTGGAAACGTCAGGGTCCAGGTTCGCGCCTGGTGCTACCATCAGAACACCGCTATGCGCCTCCACGATGAACTTGTCGTCGGCCCCACGCTGGATCCGATACACCAATCGGTTGTTCGGGGAAGACCCGTCCGCATCGCGTGCTTTGACCTGGAAGCAATCTTCAGATTTAACGATATGCAGATGTAAGGTCTTTATCTATGAAATTGTCGTTTTGTATGAATAAATTTAAAGTATCTTTTTTTTCAAACTTTTTTTCTGTATTTCAAAGTAATCACCCATGCGATCGATGCATCTTTGCCAATGAAACGAAAGCTAGTTGCAGATGTGCGAGCTTCTCCATCATTTTGTTCAGTTCTTCACAGTACACATCTGCAGTAATGCTCATGCAGTTTTGTAAAAAGCTGTGAATGAATCACACCGGCACTAGACCACCACCTTTCTATTGGTTAATATTCGTTTAGGGCATTGCTTTGGCGCTGAACCAGGATCTAACCAACTTGCCGATCGTTTTCTATTGTCGAACAGAATGTAATCTTCGTACGTAACATTTCGTTTCAAAATTCCTTCATTGCTTTACCTGTTGAGCAGTGCGAGACAGGTCTTGACGAGTGCGTTGCGCGTTGTTAGTCATTAAGTTCGTGGGGCGCCCATCTATCAAGCTTTTATACCTTGCCGATTTGTCGCAAATGGACTAATATTCTTTTGATGCTAACACCAAAAGGTGCTGACACCTTGGCTGTGATTGAGTATCATCGGCTTTCACAATCGCCTTTAATCCAACATTGTTAACCAAAGTGTCGGGACGTTTTGACGTTTCCAGAACGGAACCGGGCAAAAAAATAACGGATTGTGCTTTCGTTTATAAAGTTCTCCCCGTAAACGTTATGTGCCGTTTGTCCTGAGTTGTTGCCACGACGGAACTCATATTCCATAACTTCATTCATTTCAATTTGAAAAATGCTTTAAATGTAATGATAAATACAAAGCTAAGCAATACACAAAAGAATGACTTTGTAAAAAGAATTTAATATAGTTAAAACAAATAATTTGAATTTAGAATTCACAGCCAATCAAAACTTTTTGTTTGTTTGAAATGGCCACTGAAGAACGGCAATTTTATAAGTAAAAAAACCTGTTATATAATCAAACTAAAATTTTCATAGTGCTAAACTCTACACTTAAGATGAAACATTAAAATTTGTAGAAAATAAAGCGCCGTCACACTCAACTTTGACCCGCAGAAAGGGATGAAGGGATACTTCGACGTCAAAATGAGTGCGATTCGTTTGTGAGCGGAATTAAGAAATTCGAAAATAGTTAACGAACGAAACGTAATTCATTACACGTATATATCGAGTTGAAATTAGTAAAATTTGTAGAAAGTAAGACGAAAAGTTTTGCGTCGCACCCACTTGCGGGAATCGTACCTACATCTTCTGGATTCGCGCCCATACGCTTTAACTACTAGGCTCAACGGTTGATTGCTAGACGGAAAATCTCAACGTTTTGTATCTACATTGTTTTTCGCATATCAAGCAATGCTAATTGCACTGATGAAATATATAGAAAAATATATTGCGTGAGGAACATAGCGTTTTTCCAGTGTCTGGGTGTTTATATATGTATAACATGTATTTATTTACAAAATAAAATTATGTTTAATGGCGTAGTGGGTAGTGAAACTACCTCTTATGCTAGAAGGTGTGTGTTCGATCCCACTACTGGAAAATATTGTGTGAGGAACATAGCGTTTTTCCAGTGTCTGGGTGTTTATATATGTATAACATGTATTTATTTACAAAATAAAATTATGTTTAATGGCGTAGTGGGTAGTGAAACTACCTCTTATGCCAGAAGGTGTGTGTTCGATCCCACTACTGGAAAATATTGCGTGAGGAACATAGCGTTTTTCCAGTGTCTGGGTGTTTATATATGTATAACATGTATTTATTTACAAAATAAAAGTATGTTTACGTGTGTTTATCACTTATCTAGTAGTAGTACCCATAGTACAAGTGTTGAGAGTTGGGACTAGAGAATGGTGTGTAAAAATGTGTCCTAAAAAATAAAAAAAAATATATATTATTATGATATTTTGTCAGGCATTTTAATGTACCTCCAACACGCTGGTCCCTCCGGGCATGTCCTCAGGGATGGACCTCTTGTACACCATTTGCTGAAACACTGGGGCGTGGTCGTTCAAGTCCTGCACGTATATGGTAACGGGCACTGTGGAGGATAACGGTGGGACTCCGAAGTCCCTGGCTCTCACCTGTTGATAAAACGGTGCTTGTATTGAAATTGCCAAAATATAATTGATATTTAAAATTGCTTAAGGCTCAATTTTCCCTACACAAACAATTCATTAACACACCTTTGTAGCATTGTGGAATTGAGATAACAACATGGGAACATAATTTTAAAAGTCTGCTAGAGTGTGCACTCGTTTTTAATTAATGATATTAAGTGCTGACTTATTATGTGCTCAGCGGTGAAGGAAACACATCATGAGGAAACTTGCATATGTTTGAATTAATATAGGAAAAAAAAATTTAATTCGAAGATATGTGAAGTTGCCAATATGCAATAGGATTGTGTAGTGGACATATAACAGAGGGTATATGGGAGGCTTTCGTCTAGCTCTGTAACATATTTTACACTTTAGTTTATTTTTTTTTATAAAACAAAATCCATACCTTTGCAGCTTTATTATTACATAAATAGTGTTGGGTGATTAGAGAAATGTAATAAATTTTATTTACAATTAATTTGAATAAAAAATGTTTTGATATTTTTAGAAGCATAGTAAGTTCTTAACAAAATATTATTGAGAAGGTAAGCCTTGATGAGTTTACTTTTATCCCATGACATGTCATTTTTAAAGCAGTATTTTAGAATAAGAAAAATGTCAAATATGACAGGCTTGAAAATTGATATTACCAGGCTTGGGCAATTGGCATTCCAAATTTGAAAAATAGAATGTGGTCCATGTCCATTTTGATTAGTGTTGCCACCGTCAAAATAGCACCCAAACAACTGTCAAATCTATTTTGTCAAAGAGAACTTGGATGGTGTCGACGCGGCTTAACAGACACAATAGGTATATATCATGCAAGATAATAAACTATATATACTTGAAATTATATACCTATCATGTCTTAAACATAAAGGCCGTCTGCTATGTCACCTACTCACAATCAAATGAATTGGCCGAACGTTGCTGTTGTCACCCGGGATTTGTTCGAAATCCAATCCGCCAGCGGGTGTGATGATGCCTAGATTGGGGTCGATTGTGAAGTTTTTCCTGTAGTCGCCGCCGACTATTGAGTATTCTATGTGACTGTTCTTGGTTCCTGTAATCGGAACAAAACAGTTCGGAGGCAGTTCGAGCGTTAATATATTTACAATTTTGGCGTTAATAACAACATCAAACATTTTTTATGATACACACAAAATAGAATTTTATTTGCTAACATACGACACAACAGCATTACCACGTAAATGTCAATGCTTGCAGTTATGCAAAAGCAAGTATCAAGCAGATGACCCTTAGGGATAAGGCAAGAATATGATACTGATGAGGTGGGAACCTAGGTGATATGGGCAAAATATGTGAATAAATGGTACTGGTTCTAACTCCCACCCGGGGCCAGAACAAATATCCGACTCAAATACTTGTCCCGTGAAGGAATCGAACCCACGTCCCCCGGGCACCGAAGTCTACCATTAAACTCCTGCGACAATCGAGTAATGACCCAAATAGAATGTCTTAGTTTGTTTTGAAATAAATTATAATAGTCCGTGGTTTGAATTCCTTAACGACAAAATGCAAAATTCATTACGGTTACGGTTACGGCAATCCACAACCATGCGCTTTTTTGAAGTTGACCCGCAGTATTACGATGTCGAAGAATAATAAAAAAAAAACTAACGAGTGATGCGATAGTCCATGGAGAACGGTTATTATTTACCATAGAAAGAGATGCTTACTTGTTTCTTGGCTTAAAAAAATCTCACCATTTAAGTCTGCATCCCTCGCTTCTAAGACCAGTGGGTTTTCGAAGTGAAGCTCATTCTCCAGCAACCTGGCTTCGTACTTATTAGCCTGGAACATTGGTGCGTTGTCGTTGACGTCGTCTATGTTGATCACCAGTTGGGCCGTGTTCCTGTTGCCTTTGCCCTGGTCGTCCCTCGCTTCGACGGTGAGGTAGTGGCGGGAAACCAGTTCCCTGTCGAAGCTGCCTTCGCCCGTTTGCTTAACCGTTATGACGCCATTTATCGGATTTAAGTTCAATCTGAAAGAAGCGAATTTTAACGCGTGTACATACTCTGACTTTTAGTTAAACATAGATGCAAATGCAATAGAAAGCTTATTTGCAATGTAAAATGTACAGGATAGTTATCTCGTGTTGCAGATTTAACATTCACAAATTTCATGTAGACAAACACCCATATCTGGAACAGTTAGTTATCTCTGGGTTACACAAATACTTGTCCTATGTCGGAATTGAACTCACAACCCTTGGCACTGGCAATAAAAGAGTTAAAGAGATATTTTAAGGTATAAGTGGTTTGTGTATATTAGGTATTTGAGTATCAATTGATTTGATGCTGTCTTGTGAATTAAAGAAAATAATATATAATGTAGGTTTATATTCAAAATAAAACATTTTTGAGATACTTGGCAATCGTAATAATACTTACAAATGTGCTATACTCCCGCTAAGACTTGTGTATCTTATTCCTTTAGTTCCATAATTATCAGAGTCTTGATCTAGTGCTTGCACCCAAGCTACAGTTGTTCCTATGCCACAGTTTTCAGGAACAGAAACCATATATAATGACTCTGTGAATTCTGGGAAGTTGTCATTTTCATCCTTTATGTAAACAGTTATTGGCACAACACTGAAATCCATGAAATTCCATGTTATTAAAATTAATTTTAAATATTGCATCCTAATTTATTTTTAATATAAATATATAAAAAAATATGACCAGCAGTATTTACAAAAGATGACCTAATCATGTTATGAGTGCTGGTTACTATTTTGCATGCTTAGATACAAAATCCATCACAAGGTGTACAAGTACCTTACATTAAAATTAATAATTACTTTTTTGGCTTTAATAGTAAAATATATAAAATATTGTAAAGAATTGTAGTTATAAATAATAATGGATTTGTCTTGTGTCAGATTGCAATTATTTAAGATAACTATTACTTCACCTCATTTTTGGGTCTTTGGTAACAGTTTCTTTGGCGATTAGACTAAAATTCATCATGGTGACCTTTTCATAATCCAGGGAAGTGGGATCATTAACCCTGATATGGAATGAAGCTTCATTTATACCCTTAAAAGGTGTTACATCAAATATACCATTGTCTCCTATCAAATATAACTCAAATGTTCCATTTTTACCCTGAAAATATAATAATATACTTGCTGATTAATTATCATTTATGGTGTATTTAAGTATATTGAAATAAATTGTAATGAAATACAAAATTAGAATAAAATATTTTAAAGTTGCAGCTTATAAAACAGACTTATTTTATAAAAATCCTTAAAAGGGTTTAAATTAAATCAATGGATTAAAAAACATTGCATATAATTGGGAAAAGTACCTGGTCATAATCAAACACTTCCGGCACACTATCCTGTAAAAGGGTTATAGGGGTGTTCTGTTGGGCATTTTCCAAAACCTCGCCTATATATCTTTCACTCCTAAACCTCGGGATTTCATCATTTACATCAGTTACAATAATTGTTACCTCTGTGGTTGCACTAGGCAAAGGCGATATTTGGAGAGACTCCTCTGTAGCCTATAAATAAATATTGATAGTGTTAACATAAGCTACATACATAATTTTACAACTACTCCAATATATATGCTTACCAGAATCTCCAAGATATAAGCTCCATTGCTATTGTGTGGATCTTCTCTATCCAATGGATTAACAGTAAACACAACTCCTGAACTACTGTCAATGTCAAAATGTTCTTCTCCTCCAGATATAATACTGTATGAAATGCGATTGTTAATTCCTCTATCTCCATCTATGGCCCGAACTAAAAGATTTATTTGTATAAAGAACATACTGTGGACTACTAATCTATTTATTTACTTTCTTCCAGTTTTTTTTATCTATTTACCTTGTAAAACAGATGTACCGACTGGCGCATCCTCGCTTATTCTAGTAACGGGGCTCGCCACAACAAATTCTGGTGGTTGATCTTCCACGTCCTGAACCTTCACCAATATAGCAGCAGTTCCTGTATTTATCCTTCCTTGATTTGCACGATCAACGGCCAAAATCCGAAGTTGGTATAGGGATTTTCGCTCATAGTCTAAACGATTCACTAACCGTATTACCCCCTTTCCATTTACTGTTTGTACTGCAAAATTATCCACGTCTCCATCTAATTCTTGTAAATGATATAATACCTGTAAAATATTATTTAATATTATATATATTATAATAAATAATGCATTGTGTTTACAAACAATTCAAGTGCTAACTGCTAACGTTATTGATATTGACTTGACATTGACATTCCTTTTAGGCTGTGCTATCATGGAGAAAAAAGGGGAAAAAAAATTGTTAAAATTTTTTTCTAAAATATTTAAAAATATATAATTCATCCTTAGATAATTTGATCTATATATTGAAATAAGAATAATGAAAACCATATTTTATGTACTTAATTTTTTATAGTCAAAAAGCTCATATTTCTTTACAGAAGTAAAACAATTTGTTATCACTAGAATGAAGAGCTCTTCACATTTAAAAGAAAAACTTGCGAATACCTGCTCAAAAAATTGTCGTCAGATTCACTGGATCGTACAATCTTATCAGTATGTATATTATACAGGGAAGCTTTTATAGGTGTATCCATTTTTATATTAAATTCTACAGATAAATAATGTTATATAAAATGATAAATATTAAAAATCACTCGCAAGTAATTAATTACATTCATTTGAACTTATATCGAAAAGTGCATGATTTATACGCAACTTATTTATTGTACGCGCGATCATTCTTTTTTTTTTTTTTTTTTTTTTGGCTGGATGTGCCACTGTTGGCCTTAGGGGCCTTTACAGATCCGACGGACTTGAGGGGGCCGGGCGCTCGAGGCGCCTATCACTACCGCATTATCAACAAGTTCTGTTTTTTTAGAGAAAAGAATGGCATTTTTGTGAAAAAAAAAAAAACAATGTTTTTTTTTTCAATAACCGATTATACTACCGAGTCTGAACCTTCTGCGTAAATTTGGGCACCTTTCAAAAAGTCTTCCTGTATATGTATATATTTATTTATATATATGTATTGTGTATTTAAATGGTTTTATTTTACTGTATGTACATATTGCAAAATATATTCCTTATTAATTTTATTTTTCTATGATCTCTCTCTTTTTTTCATTTTACAATCAATAACCCTACCAAGCACCTACTTAAACTCCTCTGGACCACCCAAAGGTTGACTGGTAGATAATGCTGATGGCATTTGGCATAAAGTATAAATAAATATGCTTGGGCAGAGTTTCTAAACTATGTTCGGATTAATGCAATGTTGTAAGAGTTATTTATATTTATACAGTGTCTTAGTGTTTATACATATACTAGCTGCTGCCCGCGACTACGTCTGCGTAGAGGGGTGAACATTTAGGGTTGTATGTATTTTTGTATGCTGTATCATAAAAAAATAAAAACAAAAAATTTTATATAAAAAATAAAAAAAAATTTAGAGGTGGACCACCCTTAACATTTAGGGGAAAAAAATATAGATGTTGTCCAATTCTCTACTCTGGCCGATATGCACACAAAATTTAACGAAAATCGGTCGAGCCGTTTCGGAGGAGTTCAATTACAAACACCGTGACATGAGAAATATATTAGATAATATGTATTTATTTACAACAATAGTAGAAGCTTTGCTTAGTTTGGGATTAGCTGAAGTTGTTTAAAAATATGTCCCGAAATAGTTATTATTATTATTACCGTAATATTTATTATTATTAATATTTATTTATTGGCTGAGATAGAAAAACTTGTTCAATAAGCGGTTAGTTGTGCAATTAAGTTTATGGGAAACAAAAGATGCAATACTATGAATTATTTCTTTGACTTTTTTCTTAAAGCGGTATAGTTTCCGAGATATCATCTAAAAACGATTTATCAAGATGGTGCTTGAATCTCCACGAATCTGTCAGCATTTTGTGATTTAATACTGAGTGATCACTTACTCAACCTTATAAAAGAAAAAAAATGGATTGGTACTTTAGAGGGAAGTTGCCTGAAAAAATCGCCTATTTGAACTGGCCTAATTGGTAATGAACCTCTGATATTGATGATGTTTAAGTATGTAAGTCAAATAGGCAAATGACTTTTTTACGAAAAGAAATGGCTGTTAATGTTTGAAAAACTGTTCTGAATCTGTTGTGAAAAAAAGGAAGGGCGAGCCGCGAAGCAAAAAGGTACCTAGTCAACGGATACCAGAAACCATTGAGGTCTGAAACATAGTGATACAATTATTCTTATTTTTACCGAACAAGACTATTACTCTTATTAAACAAGGAGTTATTAATTTTCTTTGCCGTTAAATCACGAAGCCATCTATCAGTTTTCAGATATAAATTCTTCAAATATTTTTATTACATTAGTAGATACGTACTTGTCCATAAGCTCCTTCGTCTAAGTCTGTGGCCTCTATAGTTGCTAAAACGACGGGGGCGGAATCTTCTTTCACTGATATTGCGGAGGGATATGGTTTGAAAATAGGTTCGTTGTCGTTTACATCTTCAACTAACAACAGAAAACTTTGAGTGACGAAGTTGCCTTCCCCCAAATGTCCATCAGTCAACGTTAAGACAAACGAGTATTCGTCTCGTGTCTAAAAGTTAAATGTAAAATTATTTCTGGAGTAAAATATAAGTATCACACGAAACGGTGAAAAGATAAATTTGATTTATTTCATGTACAAAATGAAGGGTTTTAAAAAAATTAACGTTAATATCAAATTATTTGCAGTTAGGAAAATAACGGTAGAGTTTGTAAATATTTTGGCTACTTTAAAGATTTAATTTTAAATCATGTAGTATTTTTTCAATTATACAGAAATAAATACAAAACATAAAGAAAACCTCACCTCTCTATCTAATTCCTTAACTAAATATATATTAGCTTCGTTGGAAGAAATGGCTTCTAGTCTTAATATATCACTACCTACTTGGTCCTTTATACCAAATTTTAGAGTATCACCGTCGGGATCGACAGCCCGAAGTCGGTATATTAAAGTTCCTGCAATGTGACAAATTTCTTTTAAAATTACATTTTACAGACTTAATAGGATTTTTATTGCTACAGGGTTAACAATAACTAAGCACTATATATTTCTTGAGAAAAAAAGCATATACAAGCCATAAAAGATGTAATAAATAAATTGTAATAGAGCATAGGTATAACCGGATCCTTATTGTATTGAGGTACAAAGTACATTATAAGTTACATGTGCCCGATGACTAATCGTTCGTTAACTTCTGACAACGCCGGTAATAGGGTAAGTACGGCTTCCCCTGTTTGGTGTTTGTTGTCTTGGAAACCCCACTCTACCCCAGTTAAAGCAATTTCCGGGTAGGCATCTTTCAGTCTTTGCTATGCAACGAATTCGTTCAATGCGCACTCGAATGCGGTACATATCTTGTTAATGAAAAACAAGTCAAGCAAGCCTGTTTTACGATTAATTTTTTAAATAAACTTTTCGTGTCCATAATATTATATACTTAAGTCCTATATACGGCGAATATAGGGCTTACCTAGTAATATTTATAGATAAGTGCCTATATTATACACGCTCTCACTCATATACTGTTGACGCGAAAAATTAAACAATGCCATAAAATAGAAATGGCATCTAGACGTACTCGTATAATTATAATCTAAGGGTTTTTTCCTTTGTTTTGAATTTACAATATATAAGATCATACAAATAGTAGGTATGATTGAAAACAACAAAAACGTTTTAAATAATCACTTGGTTTCGTATAAGAAATCTTTTTTCTAAAACTTCACAGCTTTCTCTGTTTTCGTAAATGGACAGTAATATTCAACTCTTCTATGATTCTATCTATTTGTCATCACTTTGATTGGTATAAATTTAAAGTTATATAAACGTAATATGTAATAATTAAGTTTCATAAATGTACAGTTATCCAGACTGCAGTAAAGTTAAAAAAAAGTAAAGTAACAGCCTATAAATGTCTCACTGCTGGGCAAAGGCCTCCTCCGTACAGAGGGTATTAGGGCATACAGTCCAACACGCTACCCCACTGCGGATTAAAGATATTTAAAGACATTGAACCCAGGTTGCTCGAGTACTCGTATATTGAATTAAAAGCCAGCGTCCGGACAGTGAGCTATCACGGCCCAAGACGAAATTACTCCTTAAATTGAAATAATTTGACCATTTCATTAACCCCAAATAAAACAAAAATACGCACCCACAGGTGTATCCGGCCCTTCCTTCAGCCTAACAACTATTTCTGATCGTCCGTCGATTAAAAAACGTGGCGGTCTATTCGCCGCGGACGATGAAAGAAATGTTGATAGCATCAGCCACAAAAGCCTCCACGACCACGTATATGGTTTTAATCGGACACGGGGTTGTTTCCGGGTGAAATCCAGATACGCGCTTCTCATCTTGCCAGTTCATCTGACACATGGGTCCACCTTTTTGTCCGTGGAAACAAAGAGCATTTTCCCGGGATTTCCTTCGCACGGTTTCACCGTGAGAAGGTGGCGTGCTCTACTGGTGAAAGTGTTGTCACCTCTGGTTGACACTTTGAACGAGTTAATTTCTTTTACGTGACGTTCAGTTCACGTACACCTGCAAAAGAGACGGTTGTTAAATCGAGTGTAATGGTATTTATAAAATTAGCGTCGGTGCCTTTTTTGCGAACGTGCACAAGAGTTCAGTGAAAATTAGTGGAATATCGTATTATCCAGATGTTTTAAATGTATTTCAAATTCATTATCCAACTATCGACTTAAATACGTCATATAGAAAAAAATCTCAATGAAGTCATTACATTTTTATTGATAGCAGCCCAATGTGAGCCTAAAGGCCCATTTACACGATGCCATTTTCTTGTACATACAAGAGCAATAATTGAATGCAATAAATTGCGCGCAATAATTGTTTAGACCATTTGTTGTTTAGACCATGCAACCCATTTATTGCTTCAATTTAATTGTATACAACAGGCAAGAAACTGGCACCATGTAAATGGGCCTTAACAGTGAAGTATATTCAACGAATATAAGCACAAAACTTTTTACACCCTACAATTATTAATATGGCTTTAATAAATCAAGCTATAATAGTTCGTTAAAATTTAATTAATTGAAATAGTACAAATACAGGTCTCAGGTACACTTATTTTTAATGTAGGATTTCGACGCTCTGTATTTTGTTTGTAAAATTTCATATTCGCACAATTTTTAAGTAACGAGTATGATTAACTGAGATTGCAATCTGAATAAAGGTGTCGTTCTTGTGGGTTACCTAGACATGGGAACCAGTGCGTGTCATACTCTGAACACTTAACTTACCATATCATTGTTGAGACTTACGCAAATTTATGTATCTCCTCGCTTAACTATCTTCTCGGCAGGCAAAATCGTTTTTTTTAAAGGCCAGGCATAAAATCTGATCTTTGTTCGCTTTTAATTTAAAGGGTTATCTATTAACTGACCTGTAATTTACTATGTATGTCTATTGAGGGATTACTAAGAAATGCATACAATTTTATTCTAAAGTATAAAGAGCAATTGCTACTCCAGAAGTCTTTTATTTTCTGCTTATTAAATCCAATATCTTTCATTGCATACTTTAGGACCTTTGTATTGGAGCAATACTTTATTTCATTCAATATACATCACATTATTATTTTTACACTTATTTTATAGGTATATTTTTTTGATTTCATGCAAACATTGCATTCTCTAGTATATCGTATTTATATGTACTAGAGAAGATTGCATAAAATGAAATGTCTGTGCGGTGAGGTGGTTCATTCACACGCAACGTTTCAAAACAATGACCGAAATTATGTAAAATAATTAAAAATGACCTCATATCAACCGGATGTGTAATGTGCAGACGAGTCGTTGACGTTTATTTTGGCGGGAACTGGTGAGTTGTCATGTTGACAGAAACAAAAGGAGCAGCAAGCGTGACGCCGCGAAGGCCGATGACTGGCAGTACATACAACATGTGACAACTCTATCGGGGATTGACCCTATATCCGAATGTCTTAATCATATGCAAATAAAAAATTGTGGCAGATGCTTTTTTTCCTAAAACGTATCGGTCCGGAAATACTGCTTTAACATTGAATTACCGATTCCTGTTACTACATCTACAGTAATCTGACATTCTCCACAAACTATTCGAGCGTGGCAGAAAGTTTCTTAAAAACCGATTTTTTTTATGTGAAAAATTTTCAAGCAGGCAGTTTACCTGATGTAAAGTGAATACCATCGCCCATGGACATCTGCTACATCCGAGGGTTGCAGAAGCGTTGACAACCTTTTGGAAATTGGGCTACCTCACTCACCAAACGAAACGCGAAAGTATTTGTTATAATTCCACTTTACGCCGATCTTCTGTGTGGTCGTGGTACTTACCCGGACGAGCCTGCCCATTCGTACAACAGCCGAGGCTGCTGCGTGGCCCTACCTACCTACATTTTAAAGCAATGTTTGACGACATCTAGCGATCACTTTTTCATATAACATTTTACAATGAAATATTTGCAAAATACCTTTGCTATTAAAGTTAGTGTTTTTATAGTGCATTGGCTGCTGCCCGCGACTACGTCTGCGTAGAATAGGCTGTAGGCGTAACATTCAGAAAGAAAGACAGATATGTATATAAATTGTAGCCTATGTGTAATTCTGATGTATAAGTTGTTATTGTAAAGTTTCATTAAAATCCATTCAGTAATATTTGCGTGAAAGAACGTGTCGTTTTTCAACTTTAATTTATCTTTAAAATAAAAAAAGTATAAGAAATTAACGTAAAAAGTTAAATATTAAACGAGTTTAGATTACTGTATATACCTTCTTGTATAAGCAAGTATTCTGTGCAAGCAGTTGTAACATTAAGAAAGTGTTATAGTGGCCGAATTAGTGGATTCAAGTGTGCGCAAGGAGCGTGACGGACTATGCAAAGCTGCCGAAAGGCGAACGACTCGCCCGAGACGAGAGAAAGCCTCCACCCTCCGTTACTCGTCTCAATTATAGTACTTAACCTTAGAGTCATATATATACATGATTAACCATTAATTACCCAAAAGGTCGCTTTGTAGACGTGAGTGGCTCCGGTGGTCAGTGTCTCACGTCAGGATCTCAGTTGAACCATAGTTTCAACTATTGAAAACATTCACATTACCTTTCTGCTACTTACTAGTAAAAATTAAATTCAAAATCAAGAAAGTACGCTTATTATGTCGAAATAATCCGTATAAATCACTTAGCAACAATGTGGGTTACATCTCTGTTATGTTTATGAGAATTGTGCAATTCGTTTTATAAACTCGTATATTTTCATAGATAACAACATTCAATTATTATTGATCAATGAAGGCTTGGTGCGCTTTAACCATTTACAGTAGAAACTAACGTTTTCGACATTTAGTATACGTAAAATTCTTTTAACAACATACGCACAACCGTTGCTAATTATACTAGTGTGTTTTGAAAGATTTGTTTCGCACTATAGAGAAATATTAAACAATATTCTACGACGAAACAATTTTCACGCGCTCTTTCGGGTCTAAGAGTAATTGGACCGATAATTTTTATTATCTTCAATTCTTTCTTACTGTAATC